TCTGTTGGACCCAGTACATTGGTGAGCAACAAGCAATGGATAATCATTCAGGTAATTAAAAGATATAGGAGATAAAATACTTAATATATCATTTACTTATTTCATCACATTTTATATTGTTATAGCTATCATAGCACGCGCTCTGTGATTGGTCAAATGTTATTGTTTATTTCACCGGTAAACGCACGAATGCGAAAATGCTATAATATAAAAGCAATAAACAATAAATTTTCATGCGTTCCTGGTGAAATAAATCCTTGGGGTATTGGGAAAACATTCAAAACATGTCAAAAGGCTGAACATCCCTCCTCTCCGGCTCGAGATTTTTTACTTGTTTTTCGGGTTTTCCCAACATCCCGCGTGGTTTATTTCACCAGGAACGCACGAAAATGTGTTGTTTATTGCTTAGATAGATAACAAGATTAAACTTTCAGGTCATTTTGGATACTTCTTCCTTATAGGATTAGCGTCATTCTTGTACCCAGATCCTTCTCAGTTTCTCAATGGAAAATTGAAGACTCTGGTTGTAGACAATAGTGGAAGACCCGGAATCTAACAGCGCACATTCGTCTTCAACCAGAGTCTTTCAATTTTCGGCTAGAAAACGAAAAATGATCTAGATACGAGAATGGATTTGTTTATCACAAAGAAACTTGTTTATTCTCGATTTTGCAATATGATGTGGTGAAGCAAATAGGACTGGACAGAATGCATTGATGTGTAATTGTATTGTAATGTTTTTTTAACAGATTCCAGTGAATTACCTGGAAAATAACTGGCCAGTTAGGGTATGTGCGCATCTTATGTTCTTTATATTATTTACTATTCTTAAAATTCGAGTACAGGCAGGAATAGTCTCGAAACTATATGTATAAAGTGATTGTCTACTGTGTTGTTTTTTATCCCAGGAACGAGAATATTCCCGCTTGTACTGAAATTTTAGGAACATTCAATATTGCTCACTCCATATACAAAACATTTTCAAAAGTTGTAGATGTTTTCTTTGCATTGAACCATTAACATTAATGTAATTCACGTTTAGTATGCTGCAGTTCACCAGACGGGTTCCTTTGTTGCTGTTGCTGGTAAAGCTGGTATTGCACATTACTCTCTTAACACGAGAAAGTGGAAACTCTTTGGGAATATCTCACAGGTTTGTATAAATGACAGCAAGGGAAATAATACGACTACAGAGATATCCTTTCGAAATCATTTTTCTTTCTTCTTAAGAGTGTGTTTTTGTTTATATTACGATGTGTTTTCAAACATAAATAAAAACTCGTAAGGGATAATTTGATTATTTTTATGCAGGAACAAAGTATAACATGTCGAGGAGGTCTCGCGTGGTGGAAGGAATTCATCATTGTACCTTGTTTTAATATTCATTCCAGTTCTGACGAGGTAAAAAMGCTTACGTTTTCGTATGAAAATAATAGAAATAACAACRAAATTATCGAATTAATGCGTAATAAGCACAAAAACATTACCTACAATCTTCGTTATTAATTGATAATTTCTGGTCTCTACAGGTTCGTTTCTATCCTCGCCATTCTAATCTGGATAATGCATTTGCGGTGGCCGTTAAACTTCCAGCGCCGGCATTTCTCGTCAACGTATTCAGAGATTTACTGCTTGTCTATTGCTCTGATTGTCGAGTCGTGTTTTATTCTATGGAAGCGAGTAGAGCTAACAGTAGCTCAGGTATGAGGCTGTTACTTATCTAGCAGGGGCGGATTTACTGGGGGTATAGTGGGGCGGGGGAATTTGCACGTAAACTACTAAATGGCAACGTTTCATGTTTATTGAGAAAAACGAAAGCTGTCATTTTTGTCGTGTAGGAGCGTGCACTGCTTAGATTTGCACAAACATTTTGAATATTTTTGAAGTTGTTATATATATTACACCATCTCCTAATGGTACATATCACACTACCTCCCACCCCCACCGAAAATATCCAGTATCAGTTATTTTCTTTGTTTTATTCGCTTTAGTTCATTCTGTTTTTATTTTACTAGATGCAACTATTTTGGTTGATCGACTTCAGGAATTCTCATTGGCTAATCACGTCCCCCACCCATTGGCTGTGATTCACGTGACTTTAACGTCACGCTATTCAGGTTTGTGTGAGCCGTTTTCTTTCACGTTTGTCTGACCTTTGTGAGTAGCAACACTGTAGAACACTGTATATGTATACGTGTAACACAAGTTAAATTGCCAGAGTAACATAATCACAAACATAACAGTAAGCATAAGTATTGTCATAAGCTGAAAGAAACTATGAAAACCTAAGTGGTTTTCAGTTGCTCTATGAGCACATACTAAGCAGGCGTTTGTCCCGTTTTTGCTCATGCCATGTTCTGTTCTTGTGTCGCTTGTGCTTATGTTTGTGTCAAATGAAAACCAGCTTTAAAAGTTGAATTTCATTTGTTAAGAATCTGGTAATTTGGATGGTTTGGAAGCTGTGGAATCTCTGATTGCAAACGTCGGTGGTTGGTTATTAATGTTACAAAAGGACAAAGCAAGCCCCGATAAAGACAAGAGATCGAGAAAGGTGAGTCGAAGCTCTTCTGTTCAAGTTACTGACTTCCCACCCCCCCTATCCCTCTCCTCCCCCTACTCGCTTGTTGTCTCGTGAAAGGTTGTTCAGATCCATCAAAGGACACAATTGACTAGAGAGAGGCTAAGGAATAGTCTTCTTCACGGTTCCCGGCGCCATCTTCAGAGGTAGCCGTGCCTTTGTATCGAAGCGAGACGACCGTTGAGCGTGCAATGATAGAAACCTTCTTTCACACCTACAGACAATTATTCACAGGTTTCTATCATTGCACGCTCAACGGTTGTCTCGCTTCGACGCAAAGGCACGGCTACCTTTCAAGATGGCGTACGTAACCATGAAGGAGACTATTGTAAGGAATTGAAACGAAAAAATTGTTATAATACATTCCCCCTTGCTAAAGTCTCAATACCTTACCTTTTGAGTGCCTTGCGAAAAATGCTTATTCCATTCTTTCCTTTATCAGGCGTCTTTCTGTTTACCCGTTATACTCGCCTCATGTGTGGAAAATATATGGACGTCGTCTACATCGAGTTTGGATAAAAGACATCTCATGGAGGCGCTGTGGCTTGGCTGTGGTGCACAGGGAATGAAAGTAAATCTTAACTGCTGTTTGTTGTTGTWGTTTYGCCTGTATTTTACTTTTCAAAAGAACATTAAGCAAGATACTTTGCAATTTCCAGGTCTGGTTGCCATTGTTTCCAGGAAATGACCAGAAACCACCAAACTTTTTGTCAAAGAGGATCATGCTGCCATTTCAACTGAACATTTATCCATTAGGTAAGACTGAATTTCACTTCGATTTTACACTCTTAGCTAATGCAGTTCTATAATTAACGACTATCCTAGGCACTAATGTTTTGCTAAAGTTTGTTACGGTATTGATAAAAGTATCAAGTTCATTCATGTTTTCTTAAAAACTACAGCGGACGAAGTTTCTAAGCGATTTTAATGTTATCGATAATGGACAATCGACAATAATTTGTCGATAATAATTAGAAAGAACATTAAATAATTTCAATCTTTAGTAGATATTATTCTCAAAGAACAGTACGAAAACCTAGCGCATGTCACTGAATCTTGCCTTACGCCATATGGGAAGAGGACAGTTCACTTGTTTTCATTCTACAAGTTTAAAACACAAAAAAACAGAATAAAAGAAAGAAGTGCTCCTCGAGTTCAGGCGGCAGCAAGTGAATTTCTTACTGTATTTTCCCCTCAAARCCCAAACACTGATGAAGTAAAGAATAATTTTGTCTTTTGTAGCTGTACTTTTTCAAGATGCAGTCGTTTTAGGAGCAGCCAACGAACCTATGCCTCTAGACTGCTTATCACCCAACCCTGCYTCGCTCTCGCCTCAACCGTTTCCATTCTGCACCCTTGAAAGAACWGTAAGTATTCAAGTAAACATCTTTATAATACAAAAGTGTTCAATTATAGTATAAAATTATAGTATAACTTTGTCTAAATTTTGTATGTTTTTAGTTATTGTTTGTTTATGTTTAATCCTTTT